GGAAAGGGGGAGGAGAGGGGGGAAAAAAAAAAAAAAAGCTTTAGATAACAGTTGCTATTCTCTGGTCCCTGCCCAGTACGCCCTGTAAAGCCTGGTCAACGTTTCTTTAGCTTCCATACCAGGCTGTTCAGTGGAGATGTAAATCAACTCAACTCATGTCGAGTGCCATATAATGACAAAGACAAAGACACAGCCAGACTGAGTTTAGGGTTTCTGAATTCTTTTTAAAACTAACATTCCTATGTGTCCATTAAGAGGTATGTCTTACAACGACACACACGTTACAAAAAGGGCCATACTGGCAAAGTCAATCGAATCAAATTTCAAAAACACATTGTGGCGTTTCCTTCAGAGGAGAACAGCCACCAAGGCCATCGTTTCTGCACCAAAGCCCTGCCCCCCACCCCCAAGTTTCCCAGAGAAAAGTCAACTTAGGTTGAGAACAATGGTTGAGGTGGGCTGGAACAAAAATCATTTCAGCATTCAAGCTTGTGTTACTCATACAAACAATCATCAATACTGAGAAACTATTCACAGATATTTTTGGTATTTCCCATACTTCCTGGACAAAAATCCAATATACATTTTATTTGTACCACAAATAGATCTAATATAAAGATTTGGGGAAATGAAATTTAACAAGGTGCGTGACATAGGTGGGTAACAAAGTGCCAAATTTTTCACTGAAAAGTCTCCACGTATATGTGTGTGAGTGCGACAGTGTAGGTGCATTTGTTCTTCTTCTGTGTGTATGTTTTAAAGTTAAAAGAGGAATGTGGAACTGGGCCACAAATACTATGATGTTATGTTACAAAAAATTCCATTCTGTGGGATTTCTATTTTTTTTTTTTCATGAAAGGACTCAAGTTTTGAACTGAATCATCTTTGTAACAGGTTTCTTTTTTTGGGCGCTTCTTTAGCTGTTTAGGACATACTGGAGCAACGTGCAGACGGGGAACCCATCTGGGTCAGAACCTTGTCCAGCCACTGCAGGGGACCATTCAAATGCAGCTCAATCCAGCAAGGAGTGCTTGTGACAGTCTGTCGCCTGGGGACAAACATATGCATGATTATTGTCTGGGCTGTGCTGAGGTAGGGGTTTCACTTTGAACCACACATGATCCATAAGGTTGTACGCTGTGTTTCAATTATGTGCAGTTTGTATTACTGCCACCAGGAACATGATGTCTCCACTTGAAATTCATTATCAAAGATGACTCCTGATCCAAGACAACAGAAAACAAAAACAGACTCTCCAGCCCTATCCTAGAAGCTGAGTTTCTCATCAAAATGGCATGTCTTAAGCTTTGACATAAATACAGAGTATATATTTGGCATATGTTTAATAACCAGACAGCACTCAGAGAGTGCAAACCTCCACCAAGGGCAACTTTGTTTCCCCATAATGCCATAAAAGCAATCTTCCCTATGGCTGTCATGAATGGCAATTTTTTGGGCATATGAGGTTCGCTAGTAATCAGCGAATATCTGAATATTCATGGTTGGGCGGGGTGGACATCTTTGTTTTCAGCTGAGATTGTGCTGCAGTTAAACGTATCTGACAACAGCAAACTTCATTTTGTCCTGTCATCAGTTTCAGTCACAGAGTTAACATTTTTGTTGAAACCTTTCTAGAGAGGTGATGATACAGTGGCAGCGACATGTCAAACTCCATGTACTTTTTTATTTTTTTTTTATTTTTAAATACCAGCAAAGCATCAATGCTTTTCTGATTTCATATGGGACTCAGCTGCTCTAATTCCCACTTTCTCAAGTAAAAACAAAAATTGGCTTATTTTGCAGGTTGCCTCAAAATCGTTACATGCGACTTCAGTCCCTGTGGGCACACATTGGGTGTACCAAGTGACAGCACTTGGTTTCCATTGACGATGAATAGACGGCTGTCACTAACCCACTAACATGTCTCCACATGTGCTCAGAGTGCAGTCATGCACTTTAGCGCTCACAATGGTCAATAATAACTTAAAATATTTCTGTATCCAAATTATGACACAGATCAGCACCAAAATGTAATGAGGTGTTCCATAGGCCATACTCTACTTCCCCAAAAAAATTCATCAAAATCCACTCCTTACTTTTTGAATTATACTGTTAAACACCAGCAGAGGTAAAAAAAAACTAACTGTAATTTAACAACCAACTAGAAATC